TGGCCACTGGTCTGCTGGTCGAGTGGGACTTCTGTCCTTCCTTAAAGGCACCATGTCAGCCCCTGAGCCTGTCTGCTCTGGGCAGCCTCTCTTCCCAACAGCCTCAGTCACCAACTCCTCACTCACTCACCCACTCCTCACTCACTCACTCCTCACTCACTCACCCACTCCTCACTCACTCACCCACTCCACTCATCTGGCTAAATTCTACTGACTCCTTCCAGCTCTCGCTCTCCCAGGCGAGCTTTCTCTGCTCCTGTGGAATCAGCAGTGCTGGACCACCGCAGACATTTCAGCACTATTTGAAGCCTTTTAAAAAGGTTTCTATCTTGTAAGTCACTTCAAGATAAATACCATGAGTCTTCTGCTCACTTGAGTTTCTCTAGTGCTGGGCCGGCTGCTGTATGGAGAAACTCTACAATGTGTGTCAGTTGAATAATTGACCCCAGTGAAACATCAGAGCTGTAGAAAAAAGTGCCGGCGGAGGAGGCGGAGAGTGGGCGCGCATGGGGGGGGGGGAGCCCATGCTCTGCATGCTTCCATGGCTCTGTCTTTTCATTTGCTGACAGTTCAGACTTAAGATGATGCAACCCTAGAGTTTCAAGTTCTCAAACATTCCTCCCTGAAATGGAAGCAGTTGCTATAATAAAGCAAAATGCAAAGTAACAAGATGATCTACCTCCTTATACATTTATCTGAAACTACAAATCCACTTCTCCAATTCTGGAGCCAGAAGGGTCACAAATATGAAATGACAGTCCGGTTGCCTTTAGTCTTCAGTACCAATCACTTCAGTCTTATTTGTTCATGGACCTGTTTCAGGCAACTTAAGCCATGAGTAAGAACAAAGAGACAGCCAGGCTGTTGGCCTAAGATAGAATCCAGAGCAATGGAGGGCTAGTGTCTGTTCTACCCAATCAGAGGGTGGTGGTAGGCTAGGGTCTGCTCTACCCAGTCAGAGGGCAGTGGAGGGCTCGAGTCTGCTCTACCCAGTCAAGAAGGGGCAGTGGTGGGCTAGAGTCTGCTCTACCCAGTCAGAGGGGGCAGTGGTGGGCTAGAGTCCGCTCTACCCAGTCAAGAGGGCAGTGGAGGGCTAGAGTCTGCTCTACCCAGTCAGAGGGGGCAATGGTGGGCTGGTGTCCGCTCTACCCAGTCAGAGGGATCTGGAAGAAAATTGCACCACCTGTTTCTCTTTTCGTTTCCAGTATTTTATGTAATTTGCTACATTTTTCCTTCTTTCTAACCTTCACACCTGTGTGAGCCCTCTCTCAAAGAAGAATTCATCACTGAAAATAGGCATGCCACGTACCACGTGCGCACGTCCAGCAAGGTAAGTATTAATACCCTCTATTTTACTCTCCAGGCCGCTGGTTGGCCTGACTAAAGTTTTAGGTCCAGGAACACTGCAGCCTGGGTTGGAACTTACTTGTAACATGTACAGATGGCTGTTGTATGAGTGCTATCTTTTGGTTTACAGAATGAAACAGAAACATCTACCATGTTATCATAGAGGGAACAGCCACATGAGACAGAATTAAAGCATTGTAGCTGCGCTGTCCAGGGAGTAGGACCTTCATGTTCACGGGAAAGATGAACCAGGCTTCTAGGGTCTGGTAGGAAGTAGGGAATGTTCAACAGCTTTTCCACATTTGGGCCAAACTTCTCCTGGGGATTTCTACCCTTTCTGAAGTCTTCCTCACTTTACTATGCCGCCAATCTATTGTTAACAAAGGGAGAATTGTTGTGCTTACGAGGAAGGCAGACCCTTGCATGAGATGCCAGGGCTTGCGCCTCAGGAGACAAAGGTGTGTGTGATTCCTTAAGTGAAGACAGCAGAGCATCTGTAAGCACTGAGCAGCCATAGCCTTTGATGGAAAGCAGAGCTGAGTCTCAGGGCGCAGGCCCGGTGTTAGTCCTCATGTTTATCTACGCCCTGTCTCTAGGGGCCAGACAGGAAAATAAAGCTGAGAGTGCAAAGTGACCTGCAACCTGAGCAGCCTTCGAATGATGCCCCAAAGGAGCATTTCTAAGGATCTTTTCCTGCACATTCCCAAATATCACCAACCCTATGAAAACAGGCAGGCTTAAGGGAAAAAACAAACAAAACAGCCAACTATGTTTGCTCTCTGCAAAAACTTACCATCGAGGGGCAGGAACGCTGTGCTAAGTGTGTGCTTACTTTGCAAGATCCCAGCCCTCAGCCTGCAGTCAATCATCTACTACACAGAGCATCTCGGCCGCTGGAGGCTACATTTATCGGAAAAGACAAGGCCCTCTGCTATCTTGATGGCCACGTTTTAAAGTCCTTTGAAACAGTGCTGCAGTCACAGAGGCAAAAAGAGCTATGTCACAGATGAAATACAGCCAACCAAGATTCCACCTGGGAGCAGGGTTTTTGTTTGCCTTTTGTTTTCCCCAGCACCTCAAAGGTCTCTGTTTGAGCCTCTCATCACATGGCACAAAGCTGGGGTGTCTCTTGAATGGAAGGGTCAGGTTGCAAGCTGTGTGCCCTGGAAGCCACAAGCCCTGTCCAGACCACCCAGCTCTCCAAAGAGGGAGCTACATCAGATTCAGACAAGATAAGAGAGTGCCCTCCTGTGTGACCTGGCCCGGAGAGACAGCCTTTCTAGGGAGTTACTTAATCCCCTTGTGAGGGCAGACATTTGTCTAACTCAACACACTTGTGGTCCCGGTCCTTGTGAGAGTAAAATTTAGAAGATACAATTAAGATTTTTGAAGAAAATTGATAAAATAAATCTTTGAGCCTACCCTGCAGACAGATGATTAAGGATTTCATGCTCCGTGTCTGCATTTGGAAGACGGAGCCAGTCAATGTTAGAATAATATCCATTCTTGGGGCTGGGATGTGCAGCTTGTAAGCAAGGTTGGCTCTTGACCCCAGCTTGGGAGAGCAAGAAGGAAACTCGGTGGACCTACCTCCTTTTAAATGTTTAGAGCATTTGGTGGCTAGCCTAAGAGGGTTGGCAACAGCGGAGACTGGAAACACAGTGAGGACAAGGACCCTGACCATGCCATCTGTATTGACCATTTTGGAATCCTTAGAAACTAGCACTGTGCCTGGAATGAGGAGAGAGCAGGAAAGGCCCTTGATAAGCACACACTGGCTACTTTCTACTGTAAATACTGAATGCCATAAAAGTCGGGGATGGGGTTGCGGGCTGCTCTGGCTTTCATTTGTTGTCACATAAGGGCTGCAGCACGAAGAACCACTTCCTGTTCAGTCACCGAGGGTTGGCTGCAGAGAAACTCAGTTTCCAGGAAGAAGCTCCTGCTCTCTTCCAAGACATCCAGATTCATTCAACCCAACTCAGTCCAGCCCAGCCCCAGCATCGCATCATCCCCAGATAGTGAATAACACCCCCAGAGATAAAGTGTCCAGGGCCTTACTTAACTCTGAGGGGCAGGCAGGCTGTCTAGACCAACATCTGACAACGTGCCATCCCAGTACCTACACACTGTCACTCCTGGCAACAGAAAGGCAGATCTGGGGAAGTCAGGTGAGAACCATGGGTAGAAAGCCCTGGTTCAGCAGTCAAGAATGCAAATTTATGTTGTACCTGAGTCATGTTCAGCATCAGCTCATGCTCAGGCTTACTACTTAGACATGAAGTTTGATATTAACCAAAGACATGACGAGAATTTAACTGCCAAGAACAGTGTACGGCAATGTTTGCTCAAATGCAGCATCAGATTGACCTGGAAAGATTCCTGTCCCAACACTGGGTAAAAATCTGTCTTTTCACCAAAACCCAAAGCTCTCTCTCTCTCTCT